CCCCCCCCCCCCCCCACCTTTCCTTATAGGAAGAACAAAAACGTCTTGTCGATCTTTAAAAGGAACAGATAATAAGTTTCTGTTGACTAGGAACCCACTTTGCCAGATGCGTGAGCGGGCAAATTGTGCGCGCGAGTACGTTCCCACATACACCCGGGGGCGGAGGATGGGATGGAGAAGGCAAGCAGCGTCGCCAAAGCCCAAAATGGAAAAGGTCGCAGTACATCCGTGACAGTGCTGTGCAAAGCCTCTGCAAAGAGGACAGCCCGGGTGAAAGGAAGCCCCCTTCCCTTCCACACCTTCCGGCGGTTTTAGCCGTTCTTTCCTTAGGACATCAGAAGGCGCAAAGAGCTGGATTTGATGGGTTTAATATTCCTTTTTTTTTTTTTTTTCTTTTTTTACAAGCAAGCGACCGCTTGGTGCAAACCCACAGGATCGGGATTAATATGAGTGCGGACGTAATCATGCCGTCCAGCTCGCCTTCCCCACCTGCTCGCCTTTACTCACCTTCTGCAAATCTCCGCCTTTCCTGTCTCTCGCGCATCTTGTCCCCCTCCTCCCGGGGTGACCGACGCTCCTCCTCTTGTCACCCTTCCAAGCAAAAGGCAGGCCTCCCCAGGGACCCGAGGCGGCGCTGCCGCTTCCTTTCCACCCTCCTCCTTAATGCATATTAATGGCAACGCATGCGCCGCCCGGCCCTTCCCCTCCTCTTGTGGCCACGGGCTAGCGCGAAGAGGCATTCTGTTCAGTGGGGCTTGCAGGACGGGCGATCGGTTCCCTCCTTCTCCGGCTTTTTTTTTCCCACCCACCCCCATTTTCTTGCGCGCGTGTAATTTTTTTTTTTTGGGTTGTTGTTGTTGTCTTTGGGTGTCGTCTATGTGCGTGTCGCGGGGGGTGGGGAGGGGGGCTCGCCCGGGTTATTGTGTGTCCTTGATCGAGAGGTGGCAAGTGATCTGCAAAGAAAGAGAGGGAGAGAGGGGGAGCAGAAAGGGACCAGAATAACCATCGCTAGTTATATATATATATATATATTTAAAAAAAAAGAAGAAAGCGGGGGGGGGGAGAGGGAGACCGAGG